CCCGGTAATTTTTTTTTTTTTTTTTTTTTTGTTTATTAAACTGTATTCCTGCTTGGTAATTAATTTCGATAACCATTAAAGAAGAAAATATTTTATTTATTCATCCAAAAAAAAGAAAGGGAAGCTCAAAAGAGAGCGTTTTTTCCTCAAAAACATGTGCCGCCATTGATACACAGAGATGTAACATCGGACAGATCAAAGCTCCTTTTTTACTTTACGTTGTTAGAACAAAACAGAAAATACCCGCCATGTCCCCATCCCTGTCTTCTTACCCCACGCGCCTCGCCATCCTCACGCTCCTCTCCGCCACCACAGTCTACTTCTTCTACAAATCCCGCCGTCATCTCTTCAAACGCCTCATATCCTTAAACCCTAACCCTAAAACCCCTAAAGGCAAACTCTTTTTCATATCCCAAACTGGCACTTCTAAAACCCTAGCAAAAAATCTTCACAGTTTATTAAACCTCAATGGGTTTGACTTTGACCTCGTTGACCCAAAAGATTACGAGCCTGAGGATTTGCACAAAGAAAGCTTTGTATTAATTATAGCTTCCACTTGGGAAAACGGGAAACCCCCTTCAAATGCTGGGTTTTTTATTGATTGGTTAAATGAGAGTGTTGATGATTTTAGGGTTGGTTCTTTATTGCTTAGTAAGTGTAAATTTGCAATCTTTGGAGTTGGTAGTGGTTCTTATGGTGAAACATTTAATGCCGTGGCGCGTGATTTTTCGAAGAAATTGAGGCAACTTGGTGGGGTTGAGGTTTTAGAGGTGGGTGAGGGTGATGTGGATGAAGGTAATTTGGATGAGGTGTTTGGTAAGTGGAGCAAGAGGGTTGTTGGGGTTTGGAGTAATTTAGGGCAAAATGGAGGGTATATGGTGAATGGAGTTGGTGATGGTAATGAAGATGAAGTTGTGAGTGAGGGCGATGATGATGATGATGATGATGATGATGATGATGAATTCGAAGAAAATGACGAGGGGTCAGAAATTCTTGATCTTGAGGATATTGCGGGTAAAGGGCCTTCGAGAAAGAAAGGAGTTGGAGATAAATTAGTTAATGGGAAGTTGAATGGTGATATTGTGAATGGAGAGAAAGAAATGGTAACTCCAGTTATTAGGGCGAGTTTGGTGAAACAGGTATTGTGGTCAAATAACTAACTTCTGTCGTTATCAAATTAATTAGTTTAATTATTCTGATGGATAATTTAAGTTAATATAGTTTATTTTGTGATGAAATTGCAGGGCTATAAAATAATTGGTTCACATAGTGGTGTGAAACTTTGTAGATGGACAAAATCACAACTTAGAGGGCGTGGAGGTTGCTATAAGCACTCGTTTTATGGCATTGAGAGTCACAGGTGATTGTTTATAGCGTGTACATTTTTACTATATTCTATCTATGAGTTGTGTACTGGTTCTTTGGTCATCGGTTGACTGGATTGCATTTTAGCTTTCAACAATATTCTCGTTGTGTCCAAGTTGCAGCTCTGTGGTCACAGGTGGATGTGATCATCTTTACTATAGCATTGATGAAGCATGCAGTGAATAAGAGAATGAAATTTTGCGATTATGTTTGCATGTGCTTATCCCAAAAAAAAGTGTTGTTAGACAAGTCTGTTATATGGAATAGGAGTAGAATGGAAAATGAATTGTGCATATAAAGCATGTAACTTGATTGGATATACTATAAAATGATATGACAGTTTAAATTGTCCCAAACAGGGCCTCAGTAGAAAATCTACTGTGAAGTAGCTGAGTGAACCCTCAAAAGAGAAACAAAAAGTACAAAACATGATCAGTTTCGATTGCACTGACATGTTGTGCCCCATATAGTAAGCTCAATATCTATCGACTTCCTATCCTGTATGCTGATTCTAAAGCTGAATTTGCATTTTTGCCTGTTGCATAGGTGCATGGAAGCAACTCCTAGTTTAGCATGTGCGAACAAATGTGTTTTTTGTTGGAGACATCACACAAACCCTGTTGGGAAGAGCTGGAGGTGGAAGATGGATGACCCCATTGAGATTGTGGACACAGCTATAGATTTGCATACCAAAATGATAAAACAGATGAAAGGCGTTCCAGGTTTGTTTTTTGGTGCACATGCACTTATATGTTGGAAAGTTGAGTAAAGCCATATGAGAAATAATGTGTTTGGTTGAAATCCTTTGGTGATTGTATTTAACATGACTGTTGGTTCAATTTGTTGTGTCCACCCAAGAAATTGTACCTTGGTTGAGTTGTGTTTTTTTTGCAAGGCCTTCTTATTTCCAAATAAAAAATGGTAAAACTGATACAGTTAACTGCTGGTTCTCCATTTGCTTCCTCATCTGCATCTTCCTTAACTTACCCTACTCCCTAAGGACATGAAATGTAGAAGTGGATACAGAATTTTCTCAATTGCTTAATCTGCCTCGATAAAACAGATGCCCTTCCACCAGAGGCGGAGCTAGAGCTTCGGTTGCGGGTTCAGCCGAACCCAGTAGTTTTAGTCCAAATCCTGTATTTGTTTTAAATATTCATTGAAAACAACAACAACAACAACCCAGTATAATCCCACTAGTGGGGTCTGGGGAGGGTAGTGTGTACGCAGACCTTATCCCTACCCTGGGGTAGAGAGGCTGTTTCCGATAGACCCTCGGCTCCCTCCCTCCAAGAACTCCCCACCTTGCTCTTGGGGTGACTCGAACTCACAACCTCTTGATTGGAAGTGGAGGGTGCTCACCACTAGAGCAACCCATTCTTGTCAAAAAATATTCATTGAATATGTACAAATTATTAATTTAGAATCCAATAACTTAGAAGGAGCTGAATAAGCTTCAAATATTGACTCCACCTCTACCTTCCACCCTTTTTGCTTGTTTGGCCCTCCAAATATGAAGTAAGCTGAAAACTTTTAGAACCATATCAGCTATTATCTTTAAATTAATAATTTTATCAACTTTTCTGTTCAGGACGTCTTAGATATTGACCAGAATATTCCACCCTTGCAGGTGTTAAAGCTGAGCGTTTGTCTGAGGGTCTTTCTCCTAGGCATTGCGCCTTGTCACTGGTTGGCGAGCCTATTATGTATCCAGAAATAAATTCACTTGTAGATGAGCTGCACAAGAGGCGGATTTCGACTTTTCTAGTAACTAATGCGCAGTTCCCTGACAAGATTAAGTTGTTGAAACCAATCACACAGGTCTGCAAGGCTGTACTATTGTCCTTCTTTATCGATCTCTCAAGTATGTCAACATCCGAGTTCCATATCTAAATCTCGCTTCATCTTTAAATGTACAGTTGTATGTTAGCGTAGATGCTGGTACAAAGGACAGCTTAAAAGCAATTGACAGACCACTATTTGGAGACTTCTGGGAGCGTTTTCTTGTAAGTATCATATATTTGTCTGATTTAAACTAGAAATGTGAGGAATATCCATTAAGTTAACGGATGTCGAAAAGGAAGGGGAAAACAGACCCTATCGAAAAGGAAGGAGAAAGCAGAGTCCGAAAACACAGTTAAAGTTGTCAGCTGCACTCTAGTAAACCATAGCAATCTGCATCAAACTGTAGTTTGTGATATACCAGTGAGTGGAAAGTTTAAAATGCTTACTTTTACATCAGTGCTTAAAAAGACTCGGCTGCCACAGGAAACAAACCATATTTTCTGTTTTTTCTTATTTGTGTGCGACAATTCAGACTGGCTCAATATTTATTTTCTGTTATTCTGATTTTGTTAGGATTCCTTGAAAGCTCTCAAGGAGAAGGAGCAAAGAACTGTGTATCGTTTGACACTTGTTAAAGGGTGGAATGCAGAAGAAGTGGATGCATATTTTAACCTATTCAGCATCGGAAAACCTGATTTCATTGAAATCAAAGGTGTCACTTACTGTGGATCGTAAGTTCTCCCTCTTTTCTTTTTTTCTTTTCCCCCTCTTCTGCTAGGTTGATTTGATTATAGAACTCAGTGCATGTGAATTCAGTTAAGTAATCAGGAGGATTTTACACAGGTCGGCTACATCAAAGTTGACAATGGAGAATGTCCCTTGGCACTCTGATGTGAAGGAATTCTCTGAGGCCTTGGCTAAAAAGAGTAATGGAGGGTATGAGGTTGCTTGTGAACACGTGCATTCTTGCTGTGTTCTTCTGGCTAAAGTCGATAAGTTTAAGATAGACGGTCAGTGGTACACGTGGATAGACTACGAGAAGTTCCATGACCTGGTTGGTTACTTCTCTTGTTCAAGCTTTTCAGTACATGGGTTATAGCTATAACATTCCCATTTCCTTTTGCGTAATCAATGTTTTTTAAACCTATGGTGCCACAGGTCGCGTCTGGAAAACCCTTTACTAGTAAGGATTACATGGCGCCTACACCATCTTGGGCCGTCTATGGAGCTGAGGAAGGCGGGTTTGATCCAGAGCAATTGCGTTATAAAAAAGAGCGACACCACAAATCATCTCGTAAAGAAAATGGTTCTTGAAAGTGCAAAGCAGTTTTCTTTACCTCTGATGGCTTACAATTTTGTTTCACAGAGTTAGATTTTGCTTTCCTTGCATTTCTCCTTGAAAGAGCCAGCTTGTATTAGTGGTGGTCATCGGTCGTTTGGTATTTTGGGTTCAGTCTTAAAAATGTTATACCAATATCATACCAAAATAAATATGGTTCGGTTTTTCATTTTTTGCTTTCGTTCTATGCAGTTGGATAACATCGGTATTACTCTTTAAGGTTATAACTTTGTGTTTATTGATGATTTCCTATAAAATGTTAGATAAAGGAGTAACCATTATCATTTCACATAAATAACTTGTTTTACCAAATGAAATTTAGAGAAATATATTCCCTTGTTTTAGTATTGCAAAAGCAAAAATATTCTAACCAGTCTTATGGAAATTGAAATGCTTACCATTAAAAAAAAAAATTGTATAGAAAATAAACCATTTAAAAAATATGAATGGGGACAGGTTATTGACATCAATTGATCAAGAAATAAGCAAGATAAGATATGATATGAGATGAAAGTATAAATCAGAAATTTCAGACATGTATAATCTATTCTATCCTCCTATGAACACTTGATACTCAGAGGCAAGGCTGGTTAGCACCTTCATCAATATTGACAGGAAAAGAATTTAGGGATCGATTGGTTTGAAGACAAGTTATGCTGGGATTAGTTATGTTGAGATTAGTTATATTGTAATTAGTTATTCTGGTATTATTTCTTATTTGACCATTTGATATGTTGTATTAATCATGAATTGTCAATTTTATTACTTTATTCTAGGATACTTTATCGTGCGATTACTATTCCACCCTCTGGCAAGTATAAGTTATCCCGGTACTATTTTTAATCCTGGATTAACTTATCTCAAGATTAGTAACCAAACAAAGAATAAGGCAGTATTAAATTTTTATCCAAAGATTATTTTTACTTATTCATCGTACCAAACGACCCCTTAGCACTCATTGTAAACTTCATTGGTACGTATAATACAGTTAATACTACAATATCACATAAAATAGACTAAACAAAAGAGACTAGAATAACTTTAGAAAAAAATTTGGATGCAGAAAAAATTCACATTTGATTAAGTCTGATTCTGTGTAAAAATATGAATGAAACCATATCGCTACATGAGAATTGAGACAGCCTCATATTGCAGACACAATAAATGATCAGCTTATCACTGCAGAATGCAGAGAAGGAAAATGCTTCACGTCTGCCAAAACGAAAAGGAGCCACAAATCAAATAAAAAACAAAGCATTACATTTTTTTGACAAAATCCCCACAAATTGCTCGTTAGCAAAAGCTGCAACCAATAAAAGGAAAGTTCTTACTCCCTCCGTCTTACTTTATGTGGTACTGTTTGACTTGGTGCTTAGAAAAAATTATTTTTTGTCGAAAAACATACATCACATAAATTGTAACGGACAAAGTTTTTAACATCTTCTTTAATTAAGAATTAGCTAAATAAGTACTAGAGTGCAAGCTATGTATAATATACCAAAATGATTTACTATATAGTATATATATGCTGATGGTAAAAAAAAAGTTGCGCAAATCTATAACAAATTACCTGTCTCGCTTTCAGCTTGTTACTCCACTTATTATAAATGGTATAGTGTAAAAATTCTTTTATTCACGAAATATATATAAAAATTAAACTCTTGATAATCCTGATCATGCAACTTATTTTGCCTTTTTTTCTTTTCTTTTCTCATTCTTTTTCAAAGAAGAGCACATCCTAATCAAAAGTGCCAAACTGCATGAAATTTTGTCGATACAGAGTGTTTATCCAACTTTCTTGAATTGAGCACACTTTACACAAAAGTCATTACAGTCAATATCACAATTCAATCCAGAGTATAATAGCTAACCATTGCCCTTCCTAACAAAATGTTTCTCACAATTAAAATGGACATACTAAAACCAAAAAACTAACAGGAAAGGAACAAAACCAATAGATGAATAAACTTGTTCATCTTTGATACTTTCATTTAAGACAACAACATACCCGGTGTATTCCCACAAATAAAATCTAAGGGTAGTATGCATGCAGACCTTACCCCTCCCTACCTCGTAAAGATAGAAAGGTTGTTTCCGGAGAACGTTCGGCGTTGATACTTCCCTTTGTTTCAAAAATTACCTACAAAGAAAAAGGAGATTTTTGAAAGTGATTTTTAGCAGCTTTTTCTTGGCTTGCTTTTTCTTCTAGCTCTGCTCTTTGCTACAGGTTGCTGCTTTTGTGGCTGTAAATTTTTTTCCTCTTCAGATTGTTCTTCTGCTTCTTTCTTTTCTCCTTCTGCTGCTTCTTTATTTTCTAATTCTTCACCTTCATTTATTTTGAGTTTCTTTATTTCTCCAGTAGCCTCTTCTTCATCTTTTACAATAATTTTCCTTGGTCTTCCTCTTTTTCTAGGAGTAATCTGTTGTTGTTGTTGTTGAGAGTCTCCACTCATTGCTGATGATTCTGCTATTGCTACTGATAACTCCTTTGTCTTCTTCAAAATTTTCTTCTTTCCCATCAATCTTTTCACAACCCACTAAGCTATTTCAGTCTTTAAAAAAACTTATATGATAAACAAAATCCAATTCTTAAAATTACCCAAAAAATAAAAATCCAATCTTTAATGTTTCTGGTGCTCTCTTTTGCATAAATATATCTATATAAACATATGATATCAAAATCCAATCTTGAAAACTACCAAAGCTCGGTTCACTAGGTTTTTGCTATGCACGGGTCCGAAAAAGAGCCGGATCACAAAAGTCTATTGTACGCAATCTTAACATGACTTTCTGCGAGAGGCTATTTTACCGGCTCTAACTAGTAACCTCGTGGTCACGGGCATCAATTTACCCGTGACGCCAATACTCCACTTCTAATCTTGAAAACTACCAAGGGAGAAATATTCAAACTTTTAAGGTATCTAGTGCTCTCTTTTGCATATATCTATATAACCTTATAATATATGATAGCAAAATCCAAATTTCACAACTACCCAGAAANATAAACCATAACATGAAGACACAACATACCAATAGCAAAAAATTAAATAAAAAGTAAAGAAATGAATAACTTACTTTTCTGAGAAGCTAGAGCCAATAATCATAAGAAATAAATCATATGTAGCTTAGCTCTTTGTGGTGCTATGAATCAATCCACACAAAAGCAGAACTTTCTATCTTTTCATACATACAAAACCATAGAGAGAGAAAGAGACTTCAGTTGAAATAGAAAACAAGAGTCAATTACAGTATATAAATATATGAAATATTAGAAGCTACCTAGCAAATTTTTCCTTTTTCTTTTTTCTTGGCTTATCTATTCATTCAATTTTTTTTTCCCTCTTGCTGCCAACATGGAAAACAATTTTATTAGAAAAGAAACTATAATATATAATACTACAAAATAGTACGAATTATAATTGGCTGGACCAGCTGTTTAGCAGAGAAGGGACGAAATAATAAGGTGGAAACAAAGAGTAAGGAAGAAAAAAGAAGTGAGACAAATAGGGGAATAAGGAAAAGAGCTATTTTACTAACCATGGTTAGTTTGAACTTTGGTCAATGACTAAAATGGAGGTTGACGTGGTTAATTATTTAACTTATTGTACACTAAACAGAGAAAATCAACTTCCCTTATCAATAGTTTAATTTAATCTGTTATAGTAGATTGTTTTATTTTCAAGTTACTTATTCTACTTGTTACCAGTAGTTACCATTAGTTAATTCGAGTATCTTTTAAATGATTTTGGTATTCTAAAAATTCATTTACGTCATGAGTGTATACACGTTCAATAAAAGTTTTTAAAAATATCATCAAAGGGTATGAGAAGAGAATGAAATGATAAAGATTCCTTTCACTTTTAATTAGAGACCTCTCGAGTTTGAATTATGAAAATGTAGTTCTCTTTCATCTGGAGGCTAAGAGGCTGTTTGGATTGGCTTATTTTAAGTGTTTTTAAGCCAAAATCATTTATCAGCCATTTTGTAATGTTTGGATAAAGTAAAAATATACTTTTAAGCACTTGTTTTAAAGCTAAAATGACAAAAATAAGCCAAAAGTCAAAAGTTAGAATTTCTAACTTATGGCTTAAAAGCTATTTTGACTTAAAAGTTACTTAAAGTAAGCACATCCAAATGGGCTATAAATCCCATGATAAAATTTATGTGATGTTGTATATGGGTGAACTCGGGGTTGGCACACGCCCCAAGTTCATGGTAAGTCAAACGAAAAAGGAGCATGAATGTATGAGATAGAAACTGAATTTGAGAACTCTTTGGATCGAGACCAGAACGGGGTGCTCGTCACCGGGCCTTGTAAGGCGACACCCACCGAACCCAAAACGAGCTCCAAGATCTCGGAAATGATTACAAACGGTTGCGCACGGCTAATGGAGAATCCGCACCCAACAGGATATCACGGCGTAAATTTCGCCTGATGTCGGCAATGTATCAGTAATTGACGTACAAGGAATATTTTTACCTTTTTTAGAATTGTACTATGGGTAAAACTCCCCTAATATATAAAGGGGAAGTTTTTCTATTCAATACACACATTGTAACACGTATATCAAAACAATACAAACTTGTTGGTCTGTTTCTAAGTTGTTAAAAAGGTTCTTATTTTAATTATAGTTCTTCATATATATTTGGCTTTGTATCGAGGGTCTGGTCGAGAACAGAACTATTGCTAAGCTTAAATCCGAGCCCGGACTCAATGTCACGATTGGTTTGGTTATTTATTTTATCTTTAATTCGCTTATCTAATATTCTTGATTACTTGTGTTGAATCTATCAACATATTCTTAAAATCGCGTTCAAATTTAATTGTTATCTATTTTAAAGAGAGGTGTGGGGTATTGTTAATTTGTTAGTGATCTGTAGGAGTCAAGAGTCTCAGTGTCACAGTCTGACCATCTCTGTCGCCTTTGGCGCCTGTGGTTTTGGTTTCTTTAATCTTTTTGTCCGTGTGAGTAAAGATAGGTTAAGTTTTGAACTCAAATGGTTAAGTTTGAAGATAGGTTTATTTTTATCCTTATTGTATGTAATATCTTAAGCATATGGTATATGATTCTTAAACTTTAAAAAAACTAAGCATATATTTTGTCCAATCGACGGAACATCCAAAATGAGCAATTAAAATTAATGAAAAATGTTGTGTTTTTTCACGTGATTAATGTTAGAGCTGAAGAAATAAATGATGAATAAGTGGATTTTTAATCTAATGGAGGGCGTAAAAACTGCCAAAGAGAAAATAAGAAAAAGATATACAGCAGTAACTGAAAATCGAAATACGGCTTAATTCTCTACAAACCAAAACCAATAATTCATTCTGTACTGCTCTGTGCATATTCCTTGCTTGCTTCATTTATCCTGGCAGGTGCGGAATCTTCACTAAAAAAAATTCAAAAAATAAAAAAAGTAAATACGTAAAAAAAATTAAAAAGATTCAATATTTAATCTATGTACCTGGAAAAAAAATTAATCTTATGTAATTTTCGAACAAAAAAGGTTCGGTTGAACCCTAGTCCGGCCGCCTAACTCCTCCCCTACTCATTTATGTGGACGTAGCATTTAGTGCCAAGTTGAGCCTCGAAAGTCGAGAGATGAGCCTATTTTAGTTTATACACGTGAATTTTCAATGGGACAAAAATAATTTTCTTAATTTAAAATAGTGCCGTTAAGCAAGTGGGAGAATAAAGCAAAAGCATTATCGAATAATTAGAGGAAACAAAAGGTATGAATCATGATTACAAATTCATTACTGTTTGCAAATTCATGTTTGTGTTTTTGGTCCAAAAGTATTTACGTAAATTTATTTTATTTAAAAAAAAACTAGTTTAACATGTTCAAGGCAGCAAAAACTATTAATAGCAATTTTATCCATGTTACTGTAGTTTTATCAGTTCCGTAACAGTTGAATTCTACGAATTTGTCAATTTAAAGTTTTTAAAATATTAACGAATTATCTTCGATCTATTTTTGTAAACACATTTATACGATATCAGGCTTTTACGATTAAATATATTTTTAAATAGGTAATATCTTGTAATTAAAGAAAACAATTATTTCACGTTAGGATAAAATGATAGCGTATTGGCCCCCAGATTTGAGTGATGGGGTAGTCAGTGCATGACCAATGAATTTTTCAGCCTTGGAAATGGGAAGGATAAACAATAAAATAATTACAAATTTTTTTTTAAAAAAAAAAAGTATGGTAGAAGAATAATTGAGTAGATGAGCTGCCACTGAAAGTACACGAGTGTCAAAAAATGGGCCCTTTAGTGTCACGTATTCCATTCAAAATCACTCTCCTTAAAAAACTTTTTATATCCCCATGATGAAATTAGGAAAACAAAAAAAACAAAAAAAACAAAAAAAACGAGGACAAGCTTTATAGTTTATATTATCCACTAGGTGCCCAACATAAATAATTACAGTAGATTGGATAATTTAGCTCTGTTCTTGCGATCTTGAAGGCATTAACATTGATCATCCAGTAGAAATCCTTGTTGCATCAATTATTCTCAAGCCTAATGCATATAAGATCATGCAGTCCATTTCAACTGACCAAACCAAGAGAGTTATTTTCTTCAAATAAGAGATACAATACAAGGTTTATCAAAATTAGCTCCTTAACAATCATCATGGCCAACTTTCAGACTTTCAATTACAAATTTGTAACTGCTAGAGTTCTTTTCATTCTCTTGACAAGCTGAGTATGTTGCCATGGTAATGTTTCGGAGGATCATTTTGGGGGATCACCGAATTGCTGCTCCAAAGTAGACTAACACAAGTCCTCATTACTATTTTCCAATGCTGCAAGTCCTTGCCTCTCTTGAGGCTTCTCCAAAGTTAATTGACCGATAAGCATGCCTGTGTCTAGTCTCGAGCGAAGATTCCAACTTTTCAACTTTTCCAGGATCAAATTTGACGCAGTGATGCACTGAAGCCCTCTGCCTTTATAGATGAATAAATTCTGCAGCAGATTTGTCGAACTAATTTCTTATTTTCAAACTATTTTTCTTTATAAATATTTTCTCAAGCTGTTGTATTTTACTATCTCCAGTATGTAGTGATATTTTGGTACTCCAATATTAATATAAAGCTGCCTGTTTATTAAGAAAAGTGAGCTAGACCAGTGAGCTAAGAATTGATTCACAGTTCTCCCGGGCCCCAAGAAGTAAATAAGGAAAGCTTTGATTTCACAGTATGATACTCAACCTGCTGGCTTAAGCATTATATAAAGCAGTCATGGCAATTGTTAAAAATATCAAATTACTGATAAAATGAGAGATACACAAGCTTTAACATAACAAAAAAAGGCATACATAAGGGACTCAAGATATTACCACATTTCTTCATGCAACATCATTCTATGACAGAACACTACCTTAGAACTATAGCCTTTAAAACATCAAAGCAACATATGCAACGACTAACAAAAGAAAAGCAAGCAAATGCCTTCAGTAGACACCTAATAAACTTGTCAGATATACAGAGGCTACACACTATTTATTTAATTCTGCAAACTCTAAAATTAATGTAATTTACTCACCCTTAAGAGTAAGTACTCTGAATGCTAAATCTGTCGCTTCCTATCGTGAACTCCCCCTGAAGAATTGCACTGAAAATCTTGATTATTTCCGCCAAGCTTGGTTGGGATTTAAAGTATTCAGTATGTACAATTTTAGTAGGCGTATAATTACACAATGAAAATACCTAATCAAATCATTCCTAATTGATGTAAAACTGTAATATTTTAACAAACTGAAGCAAGAGTAAATTTGTTTTAGAAGAGTCAATATTAATTACAATAGAGAAGTTATAAATGTAGGTATAGAATTTACCCATGGCATAAATTTTGTAGGCTACAAGCTCCCCAAGGTTGATATGCCTTATACTTCTGTACCGTCTCCTGTAAATACAGTACATATTGAACTACCTCCACACAAACTTCAAAGTTCAAACTCACCAATAAATCTAAACTTCAAAGAATAAAAGGATAAATAGTTTTCTTTCTAAAATGTACCTGCAATAAGAATGGTGTGGCATCTCCATTAAACAACAATAGATGAATAATATCTTGAATTAACAAAGCATGATTAGTTGAGTAGCTAAACTAATTATAAGTTTAGTCATCTATTATACTCTTTATCATTGTATTTTATACATGACCGGATTTTCTTCTTCCAAGGGGCTTTCTAATGTGAAAATCAGTGGAGTCCATCTCAGGTTATCCACCACTATGCCGTCAAAAGACCCTGCAGAAGTTAAAAATCTTAATAAACCCAGTTTACAAAAAGAAAAAGTTTACACCCCAAAAAAAAGTATTTTTTTTCAAAAAAGTTTTTCATAACAGAGCTGGAGAAAGTCAACATCCCATTTTGTTCTAAAAAATTTCCATGAGAAATCCCTAACCCACAACCCTAACTCCTTTTTAGAACTCAGGTAACTGAAGATTTTTCGCTAATTTTCCAATGTATACTAAATTCTGCTCCAAAAAACCTGTCATTTAAGCTGAAATAAAAAAAAAAAGTAGTACTAATTGTTTACCTCAAATTGGAAATGGAGAAAAAACTTATTACTCCAAAAGGCATACCACAAATCTGTCAAATTCAAGCTCGTCGCAATATTGAAATCGAATAAAAGAGAATACTTTTAATTCAATAGGTTAAAATCCTAAAATCCTTAAGCTTGCGACAAATTTTCAATATAAATCCAAAAGTTCAATAGTTTTTGATTTTGCCAAAATTGTCTTATTCTATTGTTACCTTGAGTTGGTGTAGCTGAGTCGCCACTGCAGTCGCAGACGAAGATAAAGGAAAGCGGTGGTAAGAGAATAGCGCAGTTTTTCTAATTTTTCAAAGCCCTTTCTGTCTCTGAAGCATCTGAGAGTCTGAGGGGTAAAATTGAAATAAACTGAATTTTGTGGTGTTTTGGTAAACTCACATTGACCAGAAGCTCCTCTCTGTTCTCGCTTCTTAATAGTAGTAATACTGTCCCCATGTAGAAATTAGTCCTTTCACATAATTAAAATGGTAGTATATTTTACGCAATATTATGAAGAATTTGGGAGAAATGATTAGACTTACATCTTCCGCAGTGAGAGGACATGATCATAGATAGGAAAGCATGAACGACGATGGTTGGGCAAAAAGGTTAGTACATAGTCGAAGGATTTTTCTTTTTTCTGCGGGAGGACGTGGTTCTAGTTTAGAACACATCTGCTCTCTCTTCTCCTTATTCGTATTTATTATTATTATTATTAATCTTTTATAGTCATATTCTTCATTTCTATTACTACGGTTGTTTTCTTTTCTTTGGTTATCTTACTATTTTTGCTATTAATATTTTTTTTTTCTTCAGTAATTTCAGCATATTGCCTTCCTTTACTCTTATATTTTTCAAATATATTTTGATAATGCTTTTCTTTAGCTGATTGTCTATTAAAAATAACTTCTCTATCTCACACAAGATAGGGGTAAGGTTTGCGTACAATCTACCATTTTCAGACCGCACCTGTGAGATCATACTGAGAGTATGTTGCTGTATAAGTATTTGACGCAATATTAAAGGTAAAAATTTTAAAATGGAGCATCACTACTAACAAGAGAATTTATAAAATATTTATTTGACTTCTTAAAATAATAACTAGGATAGTCACATAAAATTTCTATTGGTGTTTTGGTTGCCGTTTTCGATTAAAACCATACATATCGATTCCTCTCATTATTTATTTTTTCGTACAAAGAACCAGAGATGTACATATTATTCTTTATCTTTTTTATTATCAGTTAATCGTTTAAAAGATTACTTGCGTGGACAGAGCTCAAATAATTGCTGTAAATTTCCCTTAAATTCAAGCGTACAACAATGTATTTCGATTTAAATTCAAGCGTACTACAATATATTTCGAACAAAATTGGACATTTGATGAACAAAAAAAAAATACATTTCTTTCTCTCCTTTTTCTTCTTTTTTTCCAATGACCTTGAAAGTGGAAAACCTTTAAGGTCAAAAAACGTTGCTCATGGGATAAGCGAGAGACAACATTTGGTAAACTGAAAGTTCTGCTCATGAGGCAATCAGTGTCAAAAAATCAAGAGCGGCACCGAAGAAAAACTTTACTATTTGCCATACAACTGACACTAGTTGTGTGAGACTTTGTTTTGTCTCATAATAAAGTTAACCTCAATTCTTACATATTTGGGTCCACAAAACCTTACGTCCTGTTGTGAGACAAAATAAAATCTCATACAACTAATGTCAGTTGTGTGATGCACAAAATAAAAAAAGCCATTACTAGAGTGTCTTATTTGTGCAAATCACCGGAAAACAGATTTGGAAGGTGATCTATTTGGCCATCAGCCAGGAGCTTACTAAGGGGAAAAACATAAATAGGCAATATTTAAGAAAAAAATTCAAAAATCTAGCAACAATAGTTATTTTACATTCGTGTCAATTAAATAAATATATTTCATAGCAGAAAATCATTCAATCCCATTAAAATAGGGATGCTAGTTAATAATCCCTAAAAATAAGCAAAAATAAAAGGAAAGGTGATAACGTTCATCCAAAAATAAAACTCCCTACCAAATTCCACTAAAATAGGCATATTAATTAATGATACAGAAGTCTTACCAATCACAAATAAATTACAGCACTTGCTTCTCTTCTTGAATTAAAATATACATTAAGTCAATGTGTTCTCTTTAATAATATTTTCATTAATGTTTCATTAAAACACATGTATAAGTAATAATATGTATAATATTGGAAGAAATCATGTATGTTGACTATAAACATCCTTATATTCTGAAAAATATAAAATACATATATTTAGTAAAAATATATAAGGTATATATATGGTATGCATACGTTATAAATTATTTATACGTTTGGTACAATAAAAATCTTATAGGATTATACAACAATAAACATGTATAATTAATAATACGGTATATTCTTAGAAAGATCAACGNATGTTTGTTTATTTTTTCTAAAATTTTGAGATTCAAACCAAAATCACAAGGAAATATAAAAAAAATAAATAGAACAAATTGACAGATTAATGGATGGGTAAAAATTAAAAGAAGGATTTTGATACTTGGAAAGGCAATAGAGAAAAGCAGTGAAGAGGTTGGAAATCCGAAGAAGGAGAGTCAATGGTAGAGTGATATGAGATAGAAAGAGAAATAATATATTAAGAATTTAAACATAATCCCTTGTTTTCAGGAAGAGTTAGAGAATAAATGAGTTACTATTAAATACTAGTATTTTATTCAAATATGCTACATTTGTAATAGAATCTGCTATTATTGAAATAATTCAAATATGGTAACACTAATATAAATACTACTCCATTATATAAGAGTTTTACCATGTAAAAATCTAAAAAATAAAGTGGTTGGGCTTTGTTGTCCAATATTCGAGCTAAGGTCCAATGAACTGATCCAACACTTGTCCTTTCATATTCGTTTGGCATTGAATCCATTAATTCTCGTCATTCACTGGTCAATAGTTTGACAAGTTTGCAAAAATAACCAAAGAGTGCAAAGAAGGGAATCTAGCACCCAGTTGCTTATTCCCTATTGTAACCGTCTTTAAAAACTAACCATGTCAAATTCGTACATATAACCATGTAACCTATTTTACTATAATATATGATTATTAGTTTAGCCTAATTTGGTGGAGCACTACTCACGTGATGAGGAGTTAACTTTGTTTTTCATTTTTTCTACTTTTCATTCTTTGATTATCATCATTGCTATGATTCAAAATGTTTTATTCAGGTTTTTAAATTTGTTGCCTTTTAATATTTTTACGAGCAATACGTGAAGTTACCCATATTTACATAGAGTAATAAAATAAGAGAATAGTCATTAAAAGCTTTTTGTGACTATTAAATGCTTTTTCTTAGTCATGTGCAAATTCTTAATAAATTATACTAAAAGTAATAAAAGTTTAATTTAAAGAATATTTTTTATATATATAATTTAAATATCAAGGATGCATAAATTTTTCTCTTGTGACTGGTAACAAAAGAAACCTAAGATCGTCGAGGTAGGTCATAATATACTAACATTTCGAGGAAGCGAAATTTGTATATTTATTTGTATCGGGTATCTGTATCAATCTAATAAATACATAACACATAACTTTATAAATATAATTATCAATAAATTATGCTTCCTTCGACTCATATTAACAGTCGTGGTTACTAAAAATAGTTGTCTCAAATTATTTGTCATTTTAGAAGTTCAAGACAAAACTTATTATTTTTTTTCTTTTTTACCCTTAGTGATAATTGTTCTTGAAGATGGAGATAACACATAAATAGAATAAATATTCAATGAAGAGAGATTATATCTTATGACATAAATAAGAGTAGAATAGTCCAATCTCTTTCTTAATTAATATTTCTTAAGAGGCGTGTAAAAATGAAATACGACATATAATATGAGACGGAGGGAGTAATTAATTAATGCTATTCTCACATTTATTATTAATCACTTAACCATAATAAATTAATATAATTAGGTATAAACACGCAATAATGTGCATAAGCTTTTACCTATTGCATGACGCACCTGAAAGCATTTGAACAAAATTTTCACAACTATGAATAGCTAAACTACATGTCTTCCTAACAGCAGAGTTTCAACCATAAGAAAACTTACGAAATACACACACAAAAAAAAAAGAAGAAGAACCGTGAAAATTCCACGTGGATGAAACAAAAAACTAATAGCATTCAACTTTTGAGAACCACAAATTTTCTAATGAATTTAAGGCCAAGCACATTATTAGATTCAATATATGATAGTGACGTCCATTTAGCTACAAACAAAGACTAAAATTTTAGATAGACTCTCAAGTTATAGTCTTTTGTTTAATTAAGGATAAGTAAAAGTTAAATGTAATGAAAGCAATAGCTTGTATTTGTTAATGTACCTGCATAACTTAATATCGGCCATGTTAATCTGAGGAAAAATTGGACAAAACTGTGGGCTTTCACCTTATAGTTCGGACTTCGGATAAAACTATGGTCTGTTTTACTCATTACTTTATTAAAGCATGGAAATAAGGGGTGTTTATGTTGTGGGGATTTTTTCTTTTCTATACAATATTTGAAACTTATTTATCAAAATTGTTCTAATTTTGTATATTATCCGCCCTAAACAAGGATTACTTACAAATTATATACAATCCTCCTTAAAAGGCTCTCAATCCATTATTAGTGCATTCAATCAAAGGATTTAGTTACACCATTTTTTCTTTTTTCTCTCCTCTCTCCCCTCTTCTCTCCAGATCGAACTTATAGTTAGGGATTTCTGTTTGATAATTCTTTTGTGGTACATTCGCCAAAGCCATGAGATACTGTTGAAGTTGTCATCTTTCTTTTTTTCGTGTCTTTTTTTTTGTCAAAGAGCAGAAATTTAAATTGCAAATAATACAAGCAATAAGTCCTAGCTTTGAACATCAACACCTCTGTATCTAATGATCTCGACACCCAAGTAGTCAACAGACCCTTGGACAGCCACATGAGGCTTTCCAACTTGAATGCGAACTACATATACCTGGGAATACCTGGTGAGGATTGTCGATGCAATAAGCTAAGCCGCAAATTCTAGTAGATTTGTAGAGGGCCACAAGCATCGATATCCACCAGGAACTTCTGACCTAACTCCCTTTCTTCTTGCTTCACTCCACCCAAATCATTTAGTTCTCATCAATATTCAAGTTTTTCCGTTCAAACAAATATGAATCAGTGTACATGTGTCGATTTGGAATTCATTCTCTACTTTTCTTTCCTTAATAAATCAACTGAGAAAAGAACAATATATGGTACATCAACATACAAATTAAAAATAAATTTCGTACAAATTTAATGCAAATTTGAATATCTACAACAACGTACATAGTAAAAACAAATTTCATACAACTAATTATATATTATACAACTTATTTATAACTTTTCTACAACTTTCATACATTATTCCAGTTAAATACAACTACTAAATATATTTTTTATACAAATTTTATACAATATGTCTTTTGTATATTTTGTATCTGATTTATACATAGTAAAAATAAATTTCATACAACTAATTATATATTATACAACTTATTTATAACTTATCTATAACTTTCATATATTATTTCTACCCAGTTAAATACAACTACAATATCATATAACTTAAATACAAATTTTATACAA